CTGTCACCTTGTACTCACTGTTTTCCTTTCCTTTCCTTTTTTTTTTTTTTTTTAAAGATTTTATTTATTTATTTGACAGAGAGAGAGATCACAAGTAGGCAGAGAGAGGGGGAAACAGGCTTCCCACTGAGCAGAGAGCCCAACGCAGGGCTTGATCCCAGGACCCCAAGATCATGACCTGAGCCGAAGGCAGGGGCTTTAACCCACTGAGCCACCCAGGCACCCCTTCCTTTCCTTTTTAAATTTTTTTTTATGGTAGTTCAGAGGCCTTTCTTAAAGATTATCTTGGGGCACCTGGGTGGCTCAGTGGGTTAAGCCTCTGCCTTCGGCTCAGGTCATGATCCCAGGGTCCTGCGATTGAGCCCCGCATCGGCCTCTCTGCTCAGCGGGAAGCCTGCTTCCTCCTCTCTCTCTGCCTGCCTCTCTGCCTACTTGCGATCTCTGTCAAATAAATAAATAAAATCTTAAAAAAAAAAAAAAAAGATTATCTTAAGGTCTTTCCACAGAACATTTGTCTCTCTTTTCCTGGCTTATGTTGACAAGCAATTAACATGATTTTTAATCTCTTTTCCTCTAGGGTGGCACTTTTACAATCTCCAATTTAGGAATGTTTGGAATTAAGAACTTCTCTGCTATTATTAACCCACCTCAAGCATGTATTTTGGCAATTGGTGCTTCAGAAGATAGGCTGGTTCCAGCAGATAATGAAAAAGGGTAAGTATCAAAATAAATAGGGAGTTGTAAGTTCATTTTCATTATATTATACCTGTTTGGTTTTTGGTGGTTGTTGTGGTTTTTGTTTTACATCATACCTGTGTGTGAGTCTCGGTTTTATAATTATTGGCACAGCCTGTTGGAGGTTCAGGTACAGTGAGGCATAAGTATAGAATGAAGTTTTTCAGGGCGTCAACCCTTCTTTTACTGTATGCAGTTAATCCTATTTGAAATGAGAAGCCTTATGTACTATAGGTCAGGGGTGAGCATACTTTTTCTTGGAGCAGGTTGTAAATATTTTAGGCTTTTTGAGTCATGGTCTCTGTTGCAAATATTGTAGTGAGAAAGCAGACGTAAGCCATACGTAAATGAATTCCAGAATACCTACATTTGGCGGGATTTGGCCTGTAGGCTGTAGTTTGTCAGCCCGTGTTCCAGATGGCTCTTTGGTGTATAGAACTTAAAGAGTAGGTGGAAAATAATATCACTCTGTTGGAGCTGGCATTTGGGTTGGTTACTGGCTAAAAGCTAGTAATTGCTTTCAGCATACCTAATACTGTTTTTATCTTTTCCTAGATTTGATGTGGCTAGCATGATGTCTGTTACACTCAGTTGTGATCATCGGGTTGTGGATGGAGCAGTTGGAGCCCAGTGGCTTGCTGAGTTTAGAAAGTACCTTGAAAAACCTATCACCATGTTGTTATAATTAACCGAAGAATTTCTAGACTCTCCCAGGTCACAATGGTTCATTCTTACCATGATATAAATATGTTATTACACAGGTGGTTCTTTTTATTTTAAAGTTAACCAGTTGTTTTTGAGTCTGTCCAGATAAGTTATTTGTAATGGGCATTACTGAATTTCTTAAATGCCAATTACACCCACATATTGTACACATTTAATGAACACCAGATTTTGAACTGTGTATTCCTAGTCAAGGGAATATGTGGCCTGGCCTTTTGGTGATAAGTACTTCCATTGGGAAATGTAGAGCTAGAATTGTGGTTCCCTGTTGAAACAGATACATAAAGGTAATCTGGATGAAACCTTGAGGTTTTGAAGTTTAATTGCCTCAAATGTTTTGCTCATTTGAGAGAAAGAGAAGTCAAGGAAAAAAGAGAAGTCCATTCTCTTTGGAGAAAGGCTCTGAATTGAACTTGATTTTGGAATTTAACCCTAATCTAAATTTTTCTGTTACATGATCCTGGTTTATTATGGATGGGAAGGGTAGAGAACTTCAAGAAAAATAAGTGAAATTTTAAAAGTTAACATTCTCTTAGGCTTCTCCAACCAGCTGTCTGTCCTTTGTTTATTTTTCTATGAATCCCAAAATGGTTGTTTTGCCCCTTGAGATGAAGATATAAATATAAACTGGCACTTGTTAGAAAAGAATTTGTGTGGGTATTTATTTAAACAACTTACATGCGTAATTTTGAGAGAATTTAAAATTACCTCCAAATAAAAGAATATGCTTATAGAATTTAACAGAAAGTAGAAATTATTCCTCAATAATTAACCGTTGGTTACTTGCAAATGAACTTAATTATCAGAATCTGTTACTCAAATGACTTTGGAAATCTGTTATCAAGAAACTGGAGTAAGTGTACATATGTAAAATATGGTTTCTAGTGAGATATGTGCCAAAGTCCATTTATCACCAAGTCCTGTCTGAAGGGAAGAGGGGGAGAGAGACATTGCTAAGCAGTTGGGAGTGCTAAAAGATTAGAAGCAAAGTGGTCATTTCTACTTGGATAAAGTAAAAAATGTTCAGTGTGTACAAAGAAAGTGTTCTGTGTTTTTCCACTCGGTGTTGTCTCATACAATAAGAAAGTCCTAAAATCCTATTGGAAAGAAACAAAATAAGTTGCTTGCTGCCTTATCAGCCTAAATATTTTTTTCCATTTTGTTACAATTTGCCTTTCTTCTTAGGGGAGGGGGAGTAGAAGAGGTGATATTGTGATATTCAGGATAATAAAAATGAATTTGGCACATTATCCCAATTCCAGACTTTCCATTGATGTGTTTTTAATAAATTATTTGGAATTGTTTATGATTATTTAAAATAAATCTGACCAGTGTTTCCTTGTATATATGTGGAGCGGTCCCCTGAAACTTAGGTCTTTCAGTGTTGAATCTATTTTTAAATGTTCTTTATTAAATGGTGCAGAAGTGACACTGCATATATTCCAGAATATTTCCCTTACTGTATTATGAAAACAGTACAGTACATTAAATTGATTTTTCAGTAATTAGTAATGTTAGCTTGAATTGAAGATTGTGAAGAAGGAACAAGCTAATCAGAAGGGACCAGCGGTGTGAGCCACACCTGGTTCAAATACATGAAACTTCAAAGATAATTCATTTTTGGCAAATGCTGATGGCTCTGTTGTTCCCTTGAAAGAAAAATAAAAGGTTGTCTTCTAATAAAAATTATTTGGAGTTAAAAATTAATCTGGGGTATAATCCAAATCTGGATTCAGTCTATTTCTCTTACCAGAACTGAAAAAAGTTAAAAATTTTGGTTAAAATTATTTAAAAATTAAACTATATGTTTTCAGTGTGTCTTGTCTAATTTTTGATGTGTTGGTAATTATTTTTCACATTAAAGCCAGAGATAGGTATATATGTGTACACTCTTAATAGAAATGCATTTTAAGCATGTAGAATTAGTGAAAGAGAAGACTGAGTTTAGGAGGATGTAATCTAATACCTGAAGCTTAGGGAGTTAACTGAAGCACCTCATGGTGGAGGGTGCCACACAGCGAGATGAAAGCATAGTCTGGACATGTTAGATACTTTACACCAAGCCTGAGGTTTGTGAGTGAAGTTATGGTATCCCAAGGCATGGTCTGGAAAAGGAGTTAAAGAAGTTAACTGGCCTGAAAGATCGTATGAATATGTTGCAAGGAGTACTTCTCACCCTGGTAATACACAAAGCCTGGAATACATGGGAAAATAAACACTACTGATAATGATCTAAAACCAAGTTTGTAGGGGCACCTGGGTGGCTCAGTCAATTGAGTGTCTGACTGTTGGTTTTGGCTCAGGTCATGATCTCCAAGTGGTAAGACTGAACCCTGCATAGGGAGTGTTTGCTTCTCCTCTCCTGCCTCTCTTTCTGCTCCCTCTCTCTCTCTACCCCCCCCCCCACACACACTCCCAAACCTTAAAAAAAAAACAAGCTTCTAGAAAAATCTAGTCTCTAAATCGAGGATAATTAATATTCACCTCAATTTTCAGTTTGAAGGAAAAAAACTTGGTAAGATTTAGATTAAACTACTTCACAGCTATTAATGTTCTTCCTGGGCAAAGTTTTACATTTTGGGGGAGAGGGAGGAGAAGTTTTTATGAATATAAAAATCCATTGAAATAAGTAAAATATTTTGGAAAATAAGCATGTAAATTTAAAATTAAGCATGCTAGATTTTGAAACACATTTTACTAATGAGTATACAAACACTAAGCTGCTGGCAAAAGTAACACCCAAATGCCGAGAGTGCCAGAGCAGAGATTGAACCACTTCGATGTGGTTAGGTATGGGAGTGTGTAGGACAAGTATTGACAGTGATTTTGTAGAAGAGAAAGTAAGGTGAAAGCATTCCAAGTTTTTTTGATGGAAGAGAATATAATAGTGTTAACTTTAGGACATCATATACTTCTAAATATCACATATCAATTCTTTCTTTTCTAGATACTAGATTAGTTTCTAAGTTAAAAAGCTTTGAAATTAATAAGGACTTTAAAGACCTTATGTTGAACTAGAAACTATTACAAGGAAGCTGTACTGTATCTAGGAAAAATGATTAAGGATGTTTAAAGTTTGATGTGAACATCAAAGTTAATACCTTTGTATTGAACAACCATCTGACAGATGAAGGAAGTTGGTAAATACATCGCTTTTGTCTTTTATTTTCATAGGAGAAAGGCACTTGTCCCAAAGTCACATCCTTTTTCTTAGGGTTAGATGTATTTTATATCTTCTGTACAATAACATCCTGTTATTGTTAACTGCATCGTGGTATCCAGTCCACAGACAAGTCTCTTCTTTGATATTAAAAGATCTTGGTAACTTGGACTCCTCCCATCAGAACTGTTGTAGTAGTACAGAGGTTCATAGAAGCATAGGTTTGCATACTACTACATTGGCCCTGTAAATTCATAGCTGGAGGAAACTTTCACTGCTTCAGTTCTTCTTGGTAATAGAAAATTCACACAGTTTGAGACTTATTCCTGATGCAAAAATTTGCTAGAGACAACCAAGTAAACCAGAATTTCAACCAGTAAACCAAGGATTTTCACAATTTACTTGGAAACAGAATTTTCCCAAATGACAATTTGTTACTTTAAGACCATTAGAAATAGCTTCAAAACAAGTATATCATGGCAATACCATTATAAGAGTTTCTGTCTAGCCAAATTTGAGTTAAAAAAAAAGATAAACATAAGTTGGAGAATCTCACTCCATCAAAAAGAATTCTTAGAAAATACTAGTATTTAAGGTAAACCACTACCTCTTCACCCATTATAAAGGTCCTCTCATTCACATGCCTTTAGCACTGAAAACCCAAAGCAAATGATGCTCTTGACTTACACCAATGGCATTGTGACGATTAATGTAGCTTTCTCTTTGATAAATTTGGCTGTAGTCATTTCAGTATCCACAAATTCTGGAAGATTCAGATGTAATCTGTACTTCTCAGAGACCTCAATCAATAAATCATCCTAAGAATAACAAACCAAAGTATTTTAAAAGATGAAAGTAGAAAGTATTTCCTGGTTAAAATATGTGTACTGGATTATTCCCAGTTATTCACTCGTTTCCCATAAGAGGAGGATCTCACTGCCATGTGACTTGTAATGAGCTTGTACAGCTGCTGTTGTAACTCCCTGAGGTTTTGAGAGTTTTTGTTACTGCTGCTCAATACATCAAAAGTTAACTGATACAAAGCCATAAATCGGGTGTTGCCATCCTATATTATGTGGCATTGACTTTGTGGCTAACCAGCAAATAGCGAGGAAAATGTATTGGCAATAGGAAAAATGGTGACCCATGTTTTATAGCGATAAAGCCCTTAGGAAAACCAGCACAGTAATTTGAAAGACAAGTAACTGTATGCCATTAATGTGTGGCTTTAGCAAAAGTATGAAAATTGAATATTGGCAACATGCATTGTTTCTATTGGCTACATTTAATAAGCTACTACAAAAAGAGATGGGCTTAGAAAAGAATTTCCCAGTTTGCAAGTAGGATTGAAAGAATATACAGAGGGGCACCTGGGTGGCTCTGTGGGTTAAGCCTCTGCTCAGGTCACGATCTCAGGGTTCTGGGATCAAGTCCCGCATCAGGCTCTCTGCTAGGCAGGGAGCCTGCTTCCTCCTCTCTCTCTCTGCCTGCCTCTCTGCCTACTTGTGATCTCTCTCTGTCAAATAAATAAATAAAATCTTAAAAAAAAATATACGGAGCCCAGAAATTCTAAGACTTCAAGGCTGAGAAATGGAACTAATTTTTATTTTAAACCAGTAAAAAATAAAATTGAGAATTTATTTCTTACCTCCAAAGACTGATTAAGACAGCCTAGAAGTAAAGACTGAATTACACATTATTATACTCTTTATTAAAACCTCTAACTGGATTAAGGTGGAGCCCAGTTAATCCTTATGTTTGGCTCAAATGACAGCAATTAAGTAAAAAAAGACAGGCCATTGAAAAATGGACATGTCAAATAAAGAATTGTGGGGTATGGCACTGATTGGAATCAAAGAAATAAAATGGTACCAGCCTTGACTAAAACATTTAAAATGACCTTTGGACCCCCAACATTCCAAAAGTGTGTAAAAGGGTGAGTAAACTGCTCAGCACATAAGGATGACATATTCTCCAATGTTCTTTTCTGATGTGGCCAGTGTGGGTAAGATAAAGGGAACCACCACCCAGAGAATGAAGCTGAAAGTCATGGAAAACAATGGAACTAGGGGCTAGGTAATCAAGGAATCTTGGTTCTCTACCCAAGAACACCTCTACCCCCAGGAAAGGGACGCTGACAACATCTGCCTAATGGGATTTCAGAACTGCTGTGCACCAAGAGCTGCTGTGTCCCTCTTATTTTATTAATTTCCAAACTGAGACTGTTAATTATGTTTATCCTCTCTCCGTTCCACATTGTATGGTGCGTGTGGCTATGGCAGTAGATTACCTGTCTTTGTAGCTCATATGTCTGTGGTTCAAGAGGAGATGAAGATTATAATGGCAAAAACTTGTATTTCAGAGGCTGATACTAGGATTGGAGATGCCTTTTTTTGGGAAAGAAGCAAAAAATTGTGACCTTGAGAGTGGACTGTAGTAGATTGTAGGACTTATGCCAATTTTTTGCTTTTCTTCTGTTAGAGGATTATACATTCTTGCCATTTGAATTCCTGTGACTACCTGTGAGTATATTCTTCCCAGCCCTGTTGATGTAGTATTTGAACTTGTGCCTTAAATTTGGCCAATAGAATGTGAGTAAAAGTGATATATACTATGTCTGAGAGGAAGTTTTTTTTTTTTTAAAGATTTTATGTATTTATTTGTCAGAGAGAGAGCGAGAGAGAGCACAAGCAGGCAGAGGCAGAGAGAGAAGCAGGCTCCCTGCTAAGCAAGGAACCCCACATGGGACTCGATCCCAGGATCCTGGGATCATGACCTGAGCTGAAGGCAGCGGCTTAACCGACTGAGCCACCCAGGCGTCCCTGAGAGCAAGTTTTAAGATTCATTGCATGGCTTGGCCATTTCTGTTTTCTTTCTTCTGTGAGAATTGCGTATCTTACCTGTATCTTGAAATGGGCAAGACTCCTGGAACAGAGCAGGCCTACCTGACATACAGCCTGAGCAAACTGCTATAAACCACTGAGATTGTGGTGTTTTTTTTTTTTACTACAGCATAATATAGTGAAAGTTGACAAAGTTTACAGTATTACCTGTTTGACTTACCTCAGAAACACTAAGATCACAGAGAGAGACGGAATCAATACCAGGTAATTCAACTTTTATTTCAATTTCCAGAGGTTTATCATTCTGGTCAGCCACAGTTTTTAATTCATAGGCTGGTTCCTTCATCTCTACCTGGGTCTCTGAGCTGGAAATCTCCTCAATCAGACACCTTGCTTTGCTTGAAACTTCACCTTTTGGCAATAAAAGCTGAAAGTGATCTGGATTGCTCACAGCACTACTTATCTGTTCAAGGGTTAGTTCTTATGGAAAAAAAAATGGGGGGAGATGAAATCACAAAATTAATCTACAACATAAAATGCCATCAGGCTATGAACTGTAATATATGTGGCATTAGCCAAAATGGCAGCTAAAGCTGAAGCTAATTTGGTGTGGGAATCTAAAAGAATCTTAAACCTGGGGCACCTGGGTGGCTTAGTAAGGTTAAGCATCTGACTATTGATTTCAGTTCAGGTCATGACCTCAGGATGGTGAATTGGAGCCCTGCATTGGGCTCCGTGCTCAGTGGGGAGTCTGCTTGAGATTCTCCCTCTCTGCTCCCGCCCTCCAATCCTACCCCCTGTGGTTTCTCTCTCTCAAATACATAAATAAAATCTCTTTTATAAAATAAGTAAAATCTTAAAAAAAAAAAAAAGAATCTTAAGCCAAAGAACTTTGTTAAAAAGTTTGCAGGATTTAAAAATCTATAAGGACATGTTAATATTTCGAATATCTAATCTTTATATTTTTCTATCTTAAGATTCTAATCTTTTTTAAATCAAGATTTTTAGTTTGCAAAATGTACGCAGGATGCAAAACAATTTTAAATCAGTTAGAATTTCCATTTACAGTCATTAACTTACCCTTTCTCATTTTCTCTCTTAAATCTGTGGGGTCAGTTTGTATTCCCATCAGATTTTGTTTCATCCTTTGAATGCTTCCTTTTATTCTAAATTTAGCGACACTGTAAGAGTGTGAGAGAGTGAACTGGAATTGTTCCTCAATGCATTTCATGGCCATCCGTATTAATTGATCTTTTTTTACTTGGTCCTTTTCTGCTGCCTGGAGAACATCAGGATTGTAGGCAACATCGATGACTGTATAAACATCTGTGTGTGTAATTCAGAGGATGTGAAATGAAGATAACTTGTTTCACTAATGATATTGTCAGGTAATGTAGTAAGTCATAATCCTGGATAAAACTAGAAAGCATAAATTCTACTCCTGTATTTTTCAGAGATGATCACAATGGTGCTAAATACACACATTTCCAATTATGGCATTTCTTGGCATTTTATATGGGTTACTATTAGAAAAAACTGAATAGCATTCAATTCATATAAATAAAGGTATGCTTATTAATTATTAACTACATTACAACCAAATAAAATATTTTACTTGTAATGCCTTTTACCAAGTAAAATCTGATCATTATTATTCCCAATAAAGTTTTTAAAATGTGCTTTCTCTCCCTTAATTCTGTGTACCTGATGTCTCAGACATATCTTCTGGTGTTCCAACCCTTAGAGGTACTGGATGAGTGGTTGACTGGGGAGCTGGGATCCTTTTCCACTGACACAGGTTAATAAAAAGTACTTTTTCCTTGGGTTTCTAAAAAGCAAATAATTTTGCATATCTCAAAACCTAGTTTTTTTTCATTTTATAATAATCCTAATGGTAACTCATTACAGAATTTGAAGAGTGAGAATTTTAGGCTCCAAGTAAGCCATTCCATGCATTAAAACTGTGTTTGAAAATGACACTGTTACCTGATTTCCCCCAAGCTACTGAGTTTTCATGAAGATCCCGTTGCTGCTCCCAGAGGAACTGGGAGGAAGGACGGGGCACTGATTTAAGCAGATTCTGGGTGAATATGACCCTATTTCACTACTTCCTTACCTCCCAGCCAAGCAAGTTCTCTTTATTTGAAAAAACCTCCAATTCTATGCGTTTCTGTTAAATCATTACATTGCTTTTTTCTTGTTCTAGTAGAAAATGACTTTGAGATCTCCAAAATATATCAAATGTGAATTTCCCATTCTTACTCCTTCATCATCATCTATGTTTCACTCCCCCTTTAGAGTGGCAGTGCCCCTCAAGTTTTCTTAAAGTAGCAATAGCCAAACGTAAATGATTCTCTGATTATTCCAGGATTCTTTCACTCAAGGCCTCCCATCCCTGGGTACCAACACCACATACTAGGATCCTGGTTTGTAGACAGAGCTGTGGTTCTGGGGTGGCACAGAGCTGCTTCCCTTCTTTCAGCTGCTGTTCAATGAACTTCTCATAGCTCTCAGGATTACTTTCAGCCAGATCGTCTAGGAGGTTCCAGAACTGAGTAACTTGGGTGAGCAGACACTTTGAGGAAGACTCCATGATTAAGGTAAATAGGCCTCTTGAGTCTGTGGAAAGATAGGACTTAAGGGGGGAAAAGTCTGTGGAATTAATGATTCATCTCTTCTTTTCGAGGAGGAGGAACAAACAGGTCAGGAGTTGTTTTGGTGAAGTTAGCACCTGTGTCTAAAACATTGTGGCTCAGCACCACTTTCCTTTACCTTATTCTCTAATTATCTAATCCACCTTCTTAAATTCTCAAGTTGTCCTCCCGGGCAAGTCCTCACCTCTGCCTGGACTCTCACCAGCACTGAGGGGAGAGTAGTCAGTTAAAGTCGGGATTACCTGGTGACCCATTCTCTTGTTCGGATACCGGTATTGGCTGACTAGTGCCTATCCAGTCCTGAAACTGCCAGAGAGCCACAGGACACTTCTCCTTGCTTCGGAGTTAAAAGCAAGGATTCTGGAGCCAGAATGCCCAGATCCCAGTCTTAGCTTTGTCATGTACTAGGTGTGGGACCTTGAGCAGTGAAGTTATGTTATCAGTCTATTCTCCTCAAAGTGAAGGCGCTAATACCTATCTCGTGGGGTTATTGGGAGAATTAAGTATGCTTATGCAGAGAGGTTGGGACACTTGGTAAACCCTAAGAGAATGATAATATCCGTGTCTACAGATAACCTCCCTCGCTCTCCTCTCCCACTGGAGACGCGTCCCACAGCAGCCACAGAATGAGGAAAAGAGGAGGTCTGGGTTCCCCGAATACGATATTAGGGTTAAACTAAACGGGAAGCTTAACGAAAGGACCATCATCCCAGAGCTCGGCGAACCCACCTCCTCTCTGGGTTCCTTGACAAACCGCGACGCCTGTTACCAGGGTAACCGGACTGGGTACAACGTCTAATTGGGTCCGGAAAGCTCCAGGAAGAAAGGCTTTTTACATCCAGTTCCGGAATCTCCCCCTCCTGGTGTTGGGCTTGCTTTTCAACTGAGGCCGATCCACTTCCTTTCCAGGAAGGCGCCCGCCTCCCTTCCGCACCCTTTGATCTCTAGAGGATGCTGGAAACCCTCCCCGTGGGAGTCTCTGGGTCCTGTGGGTGGGAAGAGTTTCTCCGGAGCACGACTTCCGGCCTGAAAGGGAAGCCCGCTCCCTGGTCTCCCAGACCGATTCCTCCCCCCAAATCCCCGCCACGCGAAGCTGCGGCGCACGGTATGGGTGTGTTTGTGTGTATTTGTATGGGGAGGGCGTTTGGAGGGAAGGTTACCGGGAGCTCCGTGGCCGCTGGGGGGCAGGGATCCCGGTGACAGAGACTGGGGTATTTTCTCCGTCTTCCACTTGGAAGCCTCAACCCCAACCCCCCACCCCCACTCCCCTTTCGGGCACTCTGGGTGTCTCTTGGGCCCAGTCGAAGGTTGTACCCGTCCAGACCGTCCCCATCCTTTCGAGAGAGCGAAGCCCAACCCCGGGGTCCGTCCCAGAGGAGCGTGAACGGGGCATGCCCCCCTTAAGCCGGCCGTCCGGATTCCGCGCTGGCGCAGCCTCCGGCCTCGGTCCGAAAAGAGATCTTCCTGTCGGTGCGGGCTGGGGGAAAGGCAGCCGTGGCCTGGGCCACGGGTGAGGGCAGAATAACCGGTGGGAAGGCTGCATTTTCATGAAGGACTCGGGTGAAGCTGCAGAGCTGCCTTTGAGCCCTGACTCCTTGGCTTCCTGGGTCGGAGGAGATCTTGTAATGGAGTGGTTCTTCGTCTCACACTAGCAAGATGCCTGATTTCCTCAGGATCGAGGGGTGAGTGAGCGGTGGGGTGGTTGCACAAAACAGCTGCTAGCTACACACAGAATATCCTTGTCATCTGTTTTTTGGAGGCTTCTGTACAAAACAGAAAGAATTCCCCTGAATGGAGATACTTAGGGCGTCTCTGCATTTGATGTCAAATGTTGACATTTGTGGTCCTGACATTGTCAGATCTAGGTATTTGCTCCATCACAAACTAATTTTGAGATTCGAAAGTTGATCCCTAATCCGGATCTTGTTTGCTGTGGGCTGTCTGGTCTGGGGCAAGTTATGGCTTAAGGGAATTTCATCTACAAAATAGAAATGAAGATACTTGCCTCATATAAAACATGGGGGTTGTTTTGAGGATTAAATAAAATGGTGCTCTTGAAGGCACTTAATTCTGTGCAGTTTGAAAGAATTTGGATGCCCACCATGTCACTGTGCATTCATCTGCACATTAGGGTAGCTAGGCGTTTCCCTCTTTTAATGGTGAAGGGAAAACTACCCCTCAGGACCTCTGACTTCTTGTTCAGTGATCTTTCCTTTACCTCATGCTTCTTTATAACACTGTAATAAAAGATAAGGTAAGAAAGGAAATTATTGTTATTAAATGTTATTTATTGATTCACTTCAGATTGAAGAATGTCCCGTGTTCCATTGGGAAAAGTCCTCCTGAGGAATGTCATCCGGCATACAGATGCTCACAATAAGGTGAGAGGTACAATCTAGTTATTCCTCAACATTTATTGGAGTCATACAGTGTGCCATGCATGATTTTGGTAGTTTGGAGATACAAAGATGAACAAAACAGATAATTACAATCAATTTGGTAAGTCCTATAATAGAGACACATATAAGGTGCTTCCGTGCCCTGAGGAAGGAACAGTGAAATCGGCCTTGGGAAATTAGGAAAGGGTTCGCAGAATGAGGGGTGTTTGAGCTGCTATATTTGAACTAGTTCTTGATGAACAGGTTCAAATTTACCAGGTGTAAAAGATCATTCTAGACAGAGCATCATGTACTCATATGGCAACAAAGAAGAGCACAAAGCACTTGGGGTGTGGCAAGAAAGCGTGTGTGTCTGGAAAGGAGGGAATGTTGGGGGGGGGTAGTGAGAGAAGGTGAGGCTCAGGTGGTAAATCAGAATTGGATTGTGATGCTTGGAGATTAGACTTTTCCTCTAAATAGTAAAGAAGCTATCAAATGTTTTTAAGCAGGGTGTGACAAGATTATATTTGTATTGTAGAAAGATGATTTGTTAGCTGGGTAGGGGAGGAGAGAGCAGATAGAATGAAACAGTAGAGACACCGTTCAGGCAGTTGCAGTGCTCCAGGTGAGAGATGATGAGGAGTTCATGTGAGAGCAGTGAGAGTAGCGATGAAGATGAGGAATTTCGGAGATAAAATCCAAAGGATTTGGTGACTAAACATAAAGGGTTATCATTTGATAATTGCAGCATAGTTGCAAAGTTAATAAGGTGATAAGTGAGTCTCTGCAGGGTTAAAAAGTTCTCCTGTTGCTGCAGAATTCTACATACTTGAGATTCACTGGGTTGCATTGTTGAGCTACTCTAGAGAATCCTGAATTTGTTCCCCAGATTCCTGATTATAAACCATTCTGTAATACAATAATTAATGCAGAGTGTATTGTCAGTTACTTTTTTTTGATATAAAATACTGTTTTTTTAGTAATTATATTTCTTTTCTTTTAAAAAATCTAGATTCAGGAGGAATCAGATATGTGGAAAATAAGAGAACTGGAGAAACAGATGGAAGATGCTTACCGGGGGACCAAAAGGAAAATGTTACCCAGTAGTTCAAGGTGAAGTTGGAGCTCTAAGAACCAAAATAATTCAGGGGCACCTGGGTGGCTCAGTGGGTTAAGGCCTCTGCCTTCGGCTTGGATCATGATCCCAGGATCCTGGGATCGAGTCCCGCATCGGGCTCTCTGTTCAGTGGGGAGCCTGCTTCCTCCTTTCTCTCTGCCTGCCTCTCTGCCTACGTGTGATCTCTGTCAAATAAATAAATATAATTAAAAAAAAAAAAAGAACCAAAATAATTCAGATCCTGTTCAGAACCATCAAGTTTCACTTCGAAAGCATTTTAGTATGCTAAAGATAGAGGAGTTCAGTTCTGTGAATCTTTAAACCTTCCTTCTTTCATAAATCTAGACCTAAGCATAAAGGTAATGGCTATGATACATATGGTTTAACTTTTAGCATTTATTTGCAATGGGGAATTTAAAAATTCTACCTTGAATAACTTTAAAAGTTAAGGATTCTGTGTATTCTGACCTTGTCTGGTGGCTTTTAAGATTCTCTGTTGCTGTCTTACGGTCACTTAGCTATCATTTACTCCTTTCCCCTATTAGTCTTTGATTGATTCTCAGGCTTTTCTTTACCCCTTCTATTTCCTGTGTTCACCAAGTCACACAGCTTTTAGAGTACCTTTTTAATAATTCAGTGTGAATATGCAGGATAATGCAGGCTTAATTGTCTTGTTTGTGGAGGTATAGGAATATCTGAGTATTGAGAATATTTCTCGGGCTTCATATGCCTGTTAGTGTAGAGCTGTGTGTATGAGAAATGACTGTAGTAATAATGCTGATTTCTAAAGTCACCCAGGGGAGCAGTTAATAGATATGTAGAGTGAGTGAATGTGCCTGTGTAGTACTCAGGCTTTGGAGTGCGGTTGACTGTATATGTGAAGGGCTTTAGACAAGAAAGTATTCAGGGTATCCAAGGTAAAGAAGGCAGAGTCTCAATATAAAAATAAATATCTTTGCAGTCGTTTTCTTGCTGAAGATGGTCCTTTGAGGATTTAGATGTAAAGTTAGTGCAGATGATAATTTGTCTTCTATTGGTTGTTCAATTCCAAGCCACATTTTCAGGGACAAAATATTGTTTTTATTTTATTTTATTTATTTTTAAAGATTCTATGTATTTGACAGAGAGAGACAGCAAGGGAGGGAACACAAACTGGGGAGTGGGAAAGGGAGAAGCAGGCTTCCCGCTGAGCAGGGAGCCCGATGCAGGGCTTGATCCCAGGACCCTGAGATCATGACTTGAGCCAAAGAGAGACACTTAATGACTGAGCCGCCCAGGTATCCCCAAAATGTTGTTTTTAGAGTGAGTTATTGATATCTGTCATGGTCTAATAAATCTTTAAAACATAATCTCTTAAGGGGCAAGGATTCTGATTGTCTCATCCCCTGCAGCTAGAATGGTGTTCAGCACGTAGGAGGCCCTTAAACATTTTTGATAACTGATTAGCGTGCTTAGTGACTTGTTAGCGGACCTTGTAAGCACAGGGTGGTTCTCAACTATTTTTCTACCCTAGCCTACTCATGGGTTAGGCCTTGCTCCTACTATTACTATGACCTCACTATAGCAAGTTGCTGGTTTTTAAGGAAGGGAATATATTTCTAGGTTAGTTTGAAATGTCCCCACCTGTGATTATGCTCTACTTCCCTCTTTCCGTGTCCTCCTACTTGAGAATTAGTAAGTGAGCTATAGCATGCCACAGTCCATAAGTTATTTTGTCTTTATTCTGCAATAGGATGGGTAGTGATGGTCAGATTTTCACTGGACAGCTATACAGACTTAGAGCGAAGAACAGATCATGTCTTTTTACATTTTTTTTTTTTAACACTGAATCGGTGATTTTGTTTTCCTCTTAGCTTGTTCAGTGGGTTTTGTGCATGACATCCATAAAGGAACCTCACAGATTACTTCTAAATATAAAAGTTCTTCTGTTTTTCCTTATAGCCGGATGCGTAGTGATGGTTTTGATGAAGAAAGTCAAAGAGACTATTGGAGGCCAAAGAATGAAATTTCTGGGGCACTGGAAGATGATTTTCTGAAGGCTAAATCCTGGAATAAGAAGTTGTATGATTATGAAGCTAATATGCCAGACAGGTTTGTGACAAAATTCATGTGACCATTAATACTATTTGGTCTGAGAATGTGTACTTTTACAAATTAATTATCTGTACAAAAACTTGCACATAAATGTTCATAACATAATTATCATAATGGCCAGAAAGTAGAAATCCAAGTGTCTATCAACTGATGAATGGATAAACAAAATGTGGTAAAGTATTCCCCCCTTATCCATGGGGGATACATTCCAGGACCCCCAGTGGTTGCCTAAATCTGTGAATAGTACTGAATACTGTGTTTTTTTCTGTACAAACATAACCTATAATAAAGTTTGATTTCTAAATTGGGAACACTAAGAGAATAACATTAACTAAAAATAGATTTTTTATAAAATAAAATAAAATCTATGTGAATGTCCTATCTCAAATATTTTATTTGTACTGTACTCTTGTGAGGATGTGAGATGATAAAATGCCTACGTGTTGAGATGAAGTGAGGTGAATGAGGTAGGCATTTTGATGTAGCATTAGGCTACTCCTGACCTCTGACAGTGTGGCAGGAGGAGGGTGATCTGCTTCCAGAAAGCAAAACTGCAGATAAGGGAGTGGAGGGGAACTAATGGAATGTTATTTGACGAGAAAGGAATAAAGTACTGATAAGTGCTGCCACATGGGTGAGCCTTGGAAATAGGTGAAAAAAGCCAGACACAAAGCACCACTTATTATGATTCTATTTATATGATATGTCCAGAATAGGCAAATCCATAGAGACAGAAATTAGATTCGTGGTTGCCATGGGCTACAGGAGAGGGAGGAATGGAGAGGGACTGCTAAGGGATGGAGTTCCTTTTTGGGTGATGAAAATGTTCTGAAATTAGATAGTGGTGATGGTTGCACAACTCTGTGTACTGAAAGCAACTTAATTGTACAGTTTAAAATGGTGAATTTCATGGTCTCAGAATTATACCTCAATAAAATTGCTATGTAAAAAACATCCCATTGTAGACAGCATTGTTACAAGTTATTTTTGGAGAGGTACTTACAGGTAAAGAGCAGAGTAGAAGAGTTCCTTAGTGTTTCTTAAAAATGGCAAGTCTCTTAACAAATGGACAGAAGAATGCTTTGTGTCTGAAATGATAACATGCAGTACAGAAAATGTAGCCAAGTAAGTTACTGAGCTTGAAGGTGGGGTTGGCTCTGCCTTATCTTTATTTTCTTTGCTCTGCGTGCATGTCTGTGTCTGCATGCACTAAGTCTAATTTTCTTTAAATTTTCAAAAATATATGCATTGCTTTAGTTATACATGTAATGAAATATGTCATCTTACAGATGGGGTCACAGTGGTTATAAAGAGTTATACCCTGAAGAATTTGAAACAGACAGGTAAGGCAAATAGGCTTACTGAAAAAAAAAAAAAGCTCGAAGCTATAAGATTAATTTCAAGTCTCAACTATAAATTGGGTTCCTAATTTTACAAAGGAGATAACATTTGCCATTAAAATGTAACTAGAAACACAATAGGCAATTTATTTGGGAGATAACTGGTATTTTGCCTTTTCCTAATTGATGTTCTGCATTTATATATAGCATTTAGGTTTTTAATAGTTTTCCGTGCAGTAACTCAGTTTGGCAGATTAGAATTCTTGTCTTCATTTTAAGAAAACAAGATGAGGAAACAAAACTCTGAGAGTGATAGAAGTCTCATAATAACCCTATGTCAGAGCTTTTAGTTAAAATTCAGATGTTAACCCCAACTTTTTTTCTTAAGATTTGTTTATGTATTTGAGAGCGAGCATGAGCAGGGGGAGGGGCAGAGGTAGAAGCTGACTTCCTGCTGAGCGGGAGCCTGATGTGTGGCTCAGTCCCAGGACCCCCAGATCATGACCTGAGCTGAAGGCAGATGCTTAACCGACTAAACCACTCAGGTGCCCCTAACCCCAACTTTCTGTCTAGAATGCAGAATACTAAAATATAAATACACTTTTTATTTTCTATAGTAAAGCAGTTTCTCTTTTTTATTAGTAGTGATCAGCAAGATATCACCAATGGAAAAAAAACATCTCCCCAAGGAAAACCATCTACCCACGAGTCTCACAAACACAAGAAGTCAAAGAAATCTCACAAAAAAAAGCAGAAAAAAAAGTCACACAAAAAACAGAAGAAAAGCAAAAAAGAAGCCACAGATATAACAGCAGATTCCTCAAGCGAGTTCTCGGAAGAAACTGGGGCTTCTAGTACCAGGAAAAGGAAACAACCGCATAAGCGCAAGAAAAAATCCAGGAAAAAGTCTCTCAAAAAATCTGCTTTATTCTTGGATGCAGAAAGTGACACTTCCCAGTCGGATGATTCTGCATCCAGCAGTTCTGAGGAAGGTGAGGAAAGAGACACTAAGAAAACCAAAAGAAAAAAGAGAGAGAAAGAAGTCCATATCCCTATAGTTAACAATGAAATACAGGAGAGGACAAACAAACGCACAAATTGGAAAGTGGCTACAGATGAACGGTCTGCAGAGAGTTCAGAGGATGACTGAGGAGGAGAGCTATTCCATTTCCCATCTGACTGGTTACTTACAGCTCTTCCACCTTGGGTTTTGCCAGTGACTCTCTTGCCCAGCACAGGGACCCTGATGTCAGAGCTATCCTGTGCCATCTATCTACGTTCTGACAGACTTCTTGTCTTCTGTTTGGCCTGTTAAACTTGATCCTCTGATTGTTAATAGGGAATCTGGTATTTTGTTACGAAGTTTTCTTGAAGAGATTATTTTTTGCAATTAATCACATTTAGGGTAGAGTGCATATACAGCAAATTAAAGGACCCAGAAAGCTGAATCCCAATAATGACCTGGGTACACCAGTTGGGATGCTGAATTTGGGGAAAGCAAGGGCTGGGATCAAGAAGTGGATTGGAATTGGTGCTGTGTAGAATGTTGGAACATCGTGTTCTCTGTTTATATAGCAGGTGCCACAACTTTTATTGTCTTCAGCCTTGGTGCTTTGATCTTTCCGTATTTTGGCCTCATAGATGTGGTCTTTTATTTAATGAGAAAATGAATATAAGAGCAAAACATTTTTCCTTTATGATTATATCCCTACGCAGCTGTTACGAGACTAGGGTTTTCCATCAAATTTCCCTGCTGGACAGGGTCTGTGGCTACATTCAGTATACCCCTAAACATGGTTATTGGTTTAGTAAATGGTTTTCTATTTCCATTGTGGTATATTGCCTAAATGGACTTGTGTTCAAAATTAATTCTTCAGTTGTTTTGGGTGAGTCCTCAACCAAATGGGATAAAATTAGGAATTAGTCATGCTGTCTAGTGGTGCTCTGAACAGGATTCAGGGTAGCAACTGCCATTTAAATATTATCTTCCTTGTTAATTTCTAAATCTATTAATGAACTTTAGATTTTCCCTGAAACTAGGTTGAATCAGTTCCAAAATAAAACAGGCTTCTCAGGGATGTACCCGCTTCTTCCCTCCCAGTCTGCCTTCCAATTAAAGCACCAAGCAGAGACCGTATTATTTCCCTTTGCTATATACTGTGATCCCTACTGTTAATTCTTAAGAAACCAAAATAGCACTGAAAAAAGGCTGGCAGAACACAAGTGATTTTTTTCATTATGACAGAATATCAAGTGACATGCTGCTTTTCCTGGTTGTCATTTCATGGGCTGAGTAGAAAGCTTGAAAACTCAGAATTTTGGTCTTGGTTCTGCTTCTAATTAGTTATGAGGTTTGGAAAAGGTAAGTTAACCTCCCTGGCCTTACTTTCCCCATGTATAATACAGAAATACTTCATGGTAGCATGACAGTGTAAGACACCAGCAATAGAATATAACTAACAACATTCCATGAGGTGGTAATATTTTACAGTTCTAACTACTAAATTTGTTCTCTTTACAGAACAGATGTCTAATAAAATGTTTGGTCATAAAATACATGGTTGGCTAGAGGTTCCCTATCCCTTGATTATATGCAGGTGCTACCTTTGGGGATATTTACTTGAAATATTAATACTTTGGTACTCAATTGTCAATGTTCCATGGTGTATATTTTTACCTTTGGGATTAGTAGGGGCCCCAGGTGGGGAAAACAGTTTGTAATTACTACCTCTTAACCTAAAGACAAATTACTTTGTTCCTGGAATAGGTGAAATCTTTGTTGGAAGGAGTTTTCAGCACTTTTTTTTTTTTTTAAAGCATTGTTTCTGTGCTATAAAAGTACTGATTCTAGCACAGACTCAGGAAGATGGGCCAGTGGAACAAGGCATCTCCAGGTTGTTGATTCTACTTCAGTCTTGACCTTCCCTTCTTCCCATACTAGCAGGCCTATTTCTTTCCCAAGAATACACATCTTGCCTGTTTTGTTTTTTGCTGTGTTTACTTTTTCTTGGTCATGTATAAGCAATAAACCTGTCTTCTGTTCTTCACCTTTCTCAACCCCAATTTCACTTCTATACCTTGGGCTGTCTTTGATGGTTCTTCTAGCCCCCTTAAATATGGCGTAGGATGGCCCTTCAAAACCCAAGATCTCTCATTTGCACTACTGGTCTTGGAACATATTTCTAGTGTTCCTGCCAATCAGAGATCTCTATATTAAATCCTAAAATGGGATTAAGAAAAAAAAAAAAGAGTTGGAGAATTCACATTTATTGAGTAATTGTGATAAAACATGGAATTTCTGAATTCCAAATAAATAAATTTCACTTTTTGAACATTTGATCTGTTACTTTTTAGCACCAATAGGCTTGGTAACAGCCTCAAGTTCACTTGACAACAGGCTGATGATCTTCCCCCACTGGCCCTTCAATCTGCTTAACAAGTCCTTTGCTTCTGTTAGTCTCCCAGGGGACGGCCTACTGCCCTCCTTTCTGTACAATTTGGGCAAACCGACTGGTGATGGCAAGAGTAGTGTCAATGAAGCGGTCCACACAGCTAGAGAGACAATTTTCAGTGCGAGAGTCTAGGCGATTCCCTGGCTTCTCCACACATTTATCCCAGCACAGCTCCATGAAGTGATGTACCTAAGAGGAAAGAAAATTAGTAATCACTGCTGTCTGCATATAGGTCTAACTGCCAACTTTATTTCCTTCCTGTCTTTCTCATTTTCTTTCACCTCATTTTTTTTTTTAAGGTTTTGTTTATTTATTTGACAGAGAGAACACAAGTAGACAGAGAGGCAGGCAGAGAGAGAGAGAGGAGGAAGCAACCTCCCTGCGGAGCAGAGAGCCCAATGCGGGACTCAATCCCAGGACCCGGAGATCATGACCTGAGCGGAAGGCAGAGGCTTAACCCACTGAGCCACCCAGGCGCCCCTCACCTCATTCTTTAAATCAACAAATCCTGGGCTCTCCTCTTCCTCACTTCCTAATTTGTCATCAGTATGGCCCAGATCCTTGTTCTTACACTGCAGTAATCCTTAATCCTCTCTGTTTCTGTTTTTCTCCTCTTTAGTAACTAAAAGTAACTTTCCATCAAGTCCCCCCTGTGCTTCATGCACAATTCCTCTGTGAGCTGCTCAGGGTAGCCCGTTATTTAACCACCAACCTGTTAAGCTTCCGTGAAGTACACGCACAGCATACTCAATGTGACTTAGTATTCCTGGAATGCCCTACCTAAAGAATTTTCCCATTCTTCAAAATAGTTCCAGTTTTTAACCTCCTTGGAGGCCATTGTCTATTTTTTCCGATTGTGTTAAGTCCTTAATCAGACCAGATTTTCAGGCAGGGTTAGTATCTTCTTTTATATTTCCAAGTTGCACCAGTGTAAGCGGGGAAAGTATGATACCAATTAATTTTCCCCAAACCACTGCTCTCCTGTCATTCCAAACCTATGCCTTACAGACGAGTTCTTAAGTTCTCAAGTTTTGGGGGTCATGGACACATTTGTGAATCCAATGAAGGTCATGGATCCACTCTCCATAAAAAGGCACACAGAGGTACAGAAACCGTTTTTGCTACTTAATGGTCCGCGAACACCGCCCCCCGCGTCCACACAAGGCGGGGGGGGGCGGTGGTGGGGACCATTTACTGAGGGCTTCCTTTTGAGACTGGGTGCTAAGCAGTCAGTCGGTACTTTACGACTATCTCCATCTGAGGCGTGGTGAAGCAACTAGCCACGCTGCTAGTGGTGCTGCTGCTAGTCAGGGTCCACGCCGGGTTTCGAACCATGCCGAAACGGCTCCCAGACACTTGTTCTAACCCACAGTCCAAACTACTTCAGAGCCCACCCTTCTCCATGAACGTTCGTTCCACTGCTTTGTCGTTTTCAAATACATGATCGCGTATGACCTCTACAGTCCAGCGAGGCAGCAGACGACTGCAGAACCAACACCCACACGCGGCCTGTAAAGGGCGAGGCAGGATCAGAACCCAGATCTCAGGAAGGCCAAGCCCAGAGCGCTCGCTGCCAAACCAGGCTCCGGTGCCCTTGCCTCGCTCGAACCTTTCTTCTCTGCTTTACATTTTCTCTTTCCCCACGCTGGGTGTGCCCAGCGGGTGCCTGAGCACGACTGGTCTCCAGAGGCTGGAGCCTGTTCGTGAAGAACCCGGCGCGGCAGGAGCGAGCACAGGGCAGTCCAACCGTGGTGAGGTCGCAGAGCTTTTCCTAGCGGCTGTCACTTCATCGGCTGAGTAAAAAGTCTGAAAACTCAACCTGTGCCTCACCCTCCTGTCTATTCCCCCTGGTCCTTGACCCCGCACCTGGGCAGTGAACTGCGCCTTCTGTTGTTCCGCCGCCACCAGGCGCTGCAACTCGGCTTCGTCCGCCTCACCCAGCTCCGCCATCGTCTGCCTCCAGCCGCGGCCTTCCGGCGAGCGTGTGCGCGCATGTGCGGCGGGAGCGCGTCGGCACCCAACTTCCGGTTCACCCAGCATTTTCCTTCTCCCTGTTTTCTTGAGTTGTGGCGGGCGGGAAGTTGTCGAGGGACTGCTTCCGGGTTGCTGGGTGACCTTGAGGCTTCAGGAGAGCGATGGCGAGTCTCTGGAGGCTGGGTGTCCTGTGCGGTGCCCAAGGAGGCCGAGGTGAGGCGTCCTGGCAGCGGGAGGTTCTTAGGGCAACCTCCAGCCGGGGAAGGGAGTGCGGCGAGGATTTGTTTGCGGGGTGGTGAGGCCTCTTGAGCAGGGAATCCCTCCACCGTCCGGTTGGCGGATCTGGTCCGGGTCTACACCACAGCGATAACCACCGTGTCTCCGCGCCCAGATGTCCTCCCGAGCACGTATCTGCCCCGCTCCGGGCCGACACGGGGATAGGGTAATCTGGAAAAGAGCTCCTGGAAGTTACAGTTCTGCTGAGGCTATTCTTAAGGGTTCTTTTTTTGTTCTGTTTTGATTTTTCCCCATTCACTGTCCTTAGAATGCACCCACCCCGCATCGGAAAATTGTGGGGTTAGGCTCTGAGCCTCAATGCCTGGCCTTGCCCATTTACCCTGGAGTTGGTGGAGAGGGGGTTCTGGAAATCACTTCAATAATCATTGAACTGGACATTTGTGTTGAACCAGGCACCGTGGTAGGAATGGGATACATATTTGTATAACAGTTCCTGCTCTCGAAGAGTTTTTTCCTTTTTATAGGGAAACACAATCGAACATAATCGAACATAAAGTAAAGATAATCGAACATAAAGGTAAACATAATCGAACATAAAGCAAAAAGTCTTGTGCTGCACATGTATTGCTATGCCACTCCAGAGGAGGAACATATTTAGCTGGTGTTTTTAAAGAATTGCCCTGTTTTGGTTCCCGGAGGAAGTGTGTGTGTCTTGGGGATAAGAAAGGCCACAGGGGTTAGGGAACTACTGGGATGAGCAAAAGTGATGATGAAGGTGTAGGAACTGCGAGGTAGGAGAGAAACTAGATATGATTAGAGCATGAAGCTCAGGGTGAGGAATAAGAGCTGAATCTGGAAAGGTGAACTGGAATCAAATCAAGGAAGAACTTTCCTTGATAAGGAGTATGGGTTTACCTGATGTAAAGGGCATCATTGAAAGATTTGACATAGAGTTGAGTTTCGATTGGCCCCTTGGGTAACACCGTGGTACATGGCCATCATAGGAGATGGCAGTGGGCTAAGACACAAGTCAGGGAGATGAGATAGGACATTGTTGTAGTAGTGTAGGCAAGGACTGTGAGGTCCTGAACTTGGGAAATGGTATAAAAAAGAGCAGATTGTCTCAGGAAATGTTAAGGAGATACATCAATATGAGCTGGCAATTGACAGTTGGGGGGTGTGGGGTGGTTTTATATGACTCACAGATTTTTAGGTAAAGAGTAGCTGGGATGTCATTAAATAAAGTGGGGAACATACAAATGGAAGACAGGTTTGCTAGAAAGAGTGAGTTGAAGGATGGTTTTAGTTTTTGGCATGGTGAGTTTGAGGACCATGTAGGGTATCTCAGGAGAGCAGTCCAGCAGGCACTTAAACTTCTGAAACACTGGAGACGTAGAAGGGCTGCAGATACAGAATGAGGCGTCATCAGCTTACAGGTAGTATAAGCTGGGTGGTCAAAATGGCCAAGGGTGGGCTGAGGATGTGAGGAGAGCAGTGGGCAGATGATAGAATGTTGGGAAAACATGTAAGAGTGGATGCAGGAGGAGACTCATATAGGATGTCAGAGGATCAAAGCGGGGACTAGAAGGGAGTTCATCAGAAAAGAAGAGAGGAAAGGCCCAATAAGATGGAAGACTGAACAGTAATTGTTGAATGTGACCACACGGAGACCATTGGCAACTTAACAAAGCAGTTGTAGTGCAGATAAAATGAGTTTCAGAGTTGAAGAATCATAGGGAAGTGAGGAAGTGGAGGTAATTTAGACAACACTTTAAAGAAGCATAGTTGGAAAGAGAAGAAAGGGAGCAGGGAAAGAGTGCATGGCATTAGAGGACACAGGGTCAAGGGAAGGGTCACATAAATTACATCAGTGAGTGGGAAATGGCCAACAGGAAGGAAGGAAAGGTGAAAGACACAGGAGAGAAGTTACCTTCTATTGAGTATTTATGACATTTTGGGAATTACGGTGAGCACCTTGGGTATTTTAATTTTCAACAGTATTATGAAGTAAGTGCTACTATCTTCATCTTGCAGATGAGGACATTGAGGCTTAGAGAGCCTGTTTAATTAACTTAATTGCTCATCACCTCACAGCTAGTAAGTGGTGAAGTTGTGTGAACTTAGGTCTATTTTTTAACTAAGAGATAGAATCTAAAGGGGGACGGAAAAGGATGAGTTCAAGAGGGGCGTCCGGGTGGCTCAGTCATCTAAGTGTCCAACTCTTGTTTTTGGCTAGAGTCATGATTTCAGGGTTATGAGATCCAGCCCTATGTTGGGCCTTTGCTGGGTGTGAAACCTGTTTAAAATTCTTTCTGTCCTCCCTCTGCCCTCCCCACTCCCCCAAAAAAGTACATGTCGAGAAACTGATCTTGAAAAGGAAGATGATAATAGATGTTCTTTCCAACCTAGACTGAATTCCTTGAGGACAAAGTCTGTCTTTTTATCTCCTGCTCCAGTCTAGAGCATACTCTAACATGTAGTGAATGTTTGTTGGATGAATAGATGAACAAATGGAAAGAGGAAGGAGCTATAGTATACTTTCTTTTTAAATAAATTTTTATTTATTTATTTGACAGACAGAGATCACAAGTAGGCAGGAAGGCAGGCAGAGAGAGAGGAAGGGAAGCAGGCTCCCTGCTGAGCAAAGAGCCTGATGCAGCTGGATCATGACCAGAGCCGAATGCAGGGGCTTTAACCCACTGAGCCACCCAGGTGCCCTTTAATATACTTTATAAAATTAGTAAAAGTGTAGTCCTTTTACTTAAGTGGTTCATTGATTTTTTAATCTTTGAGGGGCAACTTAGTGTGACTCATAGCTCCCCAGGGAAATACTATCTTCATTTTGCAGATGAGATGTCATCCCCTATTTGGGCTTTAGTAGTTTGCTTATGGTTATCAGAAAGGCCTGTTAAGATGAATGGATAAAGATGTGAGATATATATATATATAGAAACTATGCAGCCATCAAAAGAAGTCTTGCCATTTGCAACGACGTGGATGGAACTAGAGGTTATTATGCTGAGCTACCTAAGTCAATCAGAGAAAGACAATTATCAATATGATCTCCCTGATACGAGGAATTTGAGAGGCAAAGTGGGGGGTTTGGGGGTAGGGAAGGAAAAAATGAAACAAGATGGGATCGGGAGGGAGACAAACCATAGGAGACTCTTGATCTCACAAAACAAACAGGGTTGCTGGGGGGAAGTGGGTATGGAGAGGGTGGATGGGTTATGGACATTGGGGAGGGTATGTGCTATGGTAAGTGCTGTGAATTGTGTAAGCCTCACGATTCACAGATCTGTACCCCTGGGAGTAATAATACATTATATGTTAATTTAAAAAAAAAAAAAAAAAAAAGGAAAGGCCTGTTAAAGGAGAAGTGTTTATGACCTCCCTAATGTCTCTTTCCTCAGCTCTGTTTGTCCGAATCCCCGTGGTCAGACCTGCTCAGGTCTCAGCATTTCTTCAGGACCAGCCTGCCCCAGGATGGTGTAGAACACAGCATATTCACCTATCACCCAACCACTATTGTATGTTTTTTTTTTTTTCATTGCTGTTGCTTTTTGGGCTCTTGCCCTCTTCATCTGGGCAAATTTTCATGCCTTTGGCAGGATTTCCTATCTGTGGACCAGAACTCTTATGTCCAGCTCTGTCAGATGAAGACCTCCCTAGCCTGCACCTTTATTAGACAATACCAGCCTGGTTGAATGATGCCATTTATACTCATAGAGAACCTTCTGATCTAAGTCTATTAAAATTTCATTTTTTTTTTTTTAAAAGAAAGTAGCTCTGTAGGAAGAGTCTGTACAATATAGGCAATCTTACTTTTTTAGCTGATGGAGAGGACCCAGATACAAATATTTTGGAATAGTAGATAATTTAAAAAGTCATACATATTTGTAGCTGTAATCGACTGGCTTATTTTTATTTAGGTCAATATTAAAATTACATAGCATTTTGGGGGGTCAGAATTATAGCAAATCTGTAGGTGAATAATGAGTTAACTCTTATTTCCAGTTTTAAACTCTGGAGAGATCTGTATTTTGCAGAGATAAAGACTTAACCTTCATGCTTGAGTCAGCAACTTACATTTAGTTGCATCTGAGTTATGAGAAATTAGGCAAGTATAGTTTTTCTGCTTTTTAGAATTATTTTATTTTTGAAAAGCTTTTGTTTCTTTCTCCATTCCTTTGCTAAGTTCAGTTAAATTTAGCAGAGTGGGGTAAATTAGTTTGGGGTATGTGCACTGAAGGAAAGCCCCAGAAGTCGTAAACACAGTTTTGTTTTTTTTTTAAGATTTTTTATTTCTTTATTTGATAGACAAAGATCACAAGTAGGCAAAGAGGCAGGCAGAGAGAGAGGAGGAAGCAGGCTCCCTGCCGAGCAGAGAGCCCGATGCGGGGCTCGATCCCAGGACCCTGGGATCATGACCTGAGCCGAAGGCAGAGGCTTTAACCCACTGAGCCACCCAGGCGCCCTCGTAAACACAGTTTTTACTATGTGTGTCCATGTGCATTTTTCTGGAGAATTATCTCTATCCTTCCATTGGAGTCCCAAAGGGGTGTGTAACCAAAAAAGGATAGAGGCTCCCCAAGAAATGTTTAATGCCCATTTTGTTTTTCACTTATTTAAAAGAAGTTCTCGTGTTCCATATTTGTTTTGGGCTCTTCATAAGTAATGGGACAGAAGAAGGACCGTAATCCTAAAAGTTTGTATCAGAATTTTTCGAATTGGCTGGCTTAATTTTGCTTTCGAAGGATTTTTATTTTTACCTTCTAATTCT